GGGACCCTTGTGGCTTGGCTTTCTTTCTTGTCTCCGTAGCACCTGTCTTCTCAGCGCAGTCCTAGGCGGGGCAGGAGAGGCCTGCCCCAGGACGTGGGGCTCCCTTCGTGCCCATACTGCTGTCACAGCCCACACAAATCCTGTCCTTCCCAGGGTGACCCAACCCCCAGGGCACGTGCTGAGAACTTAGATATTACGATCTCAGGGTTCTGGGGGCAGGAGAATTGGTCAGGGTAGGAGGGGGCCACAGGCGAGGCCAGCTCTCCCTAAATTCAACCCGGCCATTTAGGTTGGTGTAGACGTGTCATTTTAGAGACACAAGCTTGGATATCTTTTATATAACCATAGTTTGATAGCCCTATTATCCATGTGTGCTACTGTTACATGTTAGGGGCAGCCTGGGTCTTCTAAGACATTAGTTGGAGATTTACTTATGGTCATATTTAATGTTTACATTTTCAGCACCCACTCTGTGCAAACTCTGTACAGACAGGGACCTTTGTGTCTTTTGCTTTCTGATATCTAGATAGTTGGTTGGCACATAGTAGGGACCCCATGAAAATTTGTGGAACAAGAGAATAAATGAGTGGATTTTTCTGTGTGTAAAGCTTTTGAATGGCCTTGGGGGTCAGTTAGATCCAAGTTGGAAAATCTGGGCAATTTTCAAATTTTCTTATCCATAGAATGGACATATAAATACACCAGTTCCAGCTGGAATTGTGGGTGCTAAATGAGTTATATAATATCTGATCCTCAATTTTCTCTTCTATAAAATAGGGATAATTGGAGTTTCTATTTCTATTTCTTGTGATTTTTGTGAAGTTTAAATAGGTTCCTTTATGGCAAGACTGTAGAATCGGGAACACAAAATATGCCATGCCAAGCCTAGTGGCACCTGCCCTGTACCTGGCCCCACCTTCCTCAGCCTGCAATGCCCTTTCTCCACCACCTTTCTCCAGCACAGCCAGCCCCTTCCTCGTCTGCCTCCTTGTTTCTTGTCTGCCTCCCCGCATGAGACTTGCCTTGTTCCCTGGCATCTCTGACCCCCTTCCTGCCCAGAGAGGGTCCTTCACTGGAGGAGTGGGGGTGGCGTGCAGCAGGTGCCCCTGGGAGTGTTGCCAGGCAGCACAGGAAGGGGATGGGAACCAGAGGCGCAAAAGCTAAGCTGCCTGCGACACACCAAGACACATGTTCTGTGGTTGCGGCCACACGGTGCAGGAGAAAGAGGCGGGTAGAGTCATGGGGCCTCTGGCGGCGAATCATAGTGACATCTCCCTGATGCCCCATGACAGACTTTGAGGTTGTAGGTCTTATTCTCACCATGATACAAATACAGAAACTGGCTTAGACAGGTAGTTGGAATCTGTCCCAGGTGACAGAGCCGGAGCCACAGCTCACTGTGTGCTGCAGAGCCCCAGATGTCTAGTTTGGGTGGGTCTTGATCTGCACAGGAAGGGGAGGCTCTGATGGTCCCTAATCTCTGGGACACATTCTGAGTCCCCCTGCAGGCGTTTCAGCACAGAGGAGTCTTGTGGTGATTCAGAAAATCCTATGAAGCTTTAGCTTCTTGTGACACTGCCACAGAGGAAGGGCCACCAAAGCGAACACAGCTCTGTTCCAGCCACGGGAGTGGGCCACAGATGGAAACTAGACAGCCAAAACACCTTGGGTCAGCACAGGGACACAGGCAGGCCCAGGCCCAGCCTAGGTGCCGTTCCCAAGGGGAAGGGTGTCTCGGTCTGTTTTCTCTTGTTGTCGCAGAATAACCAAGTCTACCCCGTAATGGCAAGGAGTTCATTTTGCTCACCTCTGGAGGCTGGGAGTCCGGGACACAGTGGCAGCACTGGCGAGCTCATCATAGCTTGACCACAGGAGGAAGGGTAAGCAAGCTCAGGCCAGGGAGCGAGAGGGAGGCTGGGTCCGTGCCACAACCACCCCCACGTGTGGCAACTCCCTACCGCGTGAGGCACTTGCCCTTCACGACAGCCTGATTGTCTCTGAACGCTGCCAACACAGCAAACCCGTCTCACTGGGTTTCAGAGGGGACAAGTCGCATTCAAGCCATACCATGAGGTCAGGCCAGATTAGGGGAGGGGGAGTTTTTTACTGAAGAATAATAACACACACAGAGAAAAAGTACAAATTATAAGAACTCAATGAATTGTGATAAAGTGAGATCACCTGTTTACGGCTTTCCACTCAGGAAAAAACAGCAGTACTCGCTCTGCATCTCCTCCTAGCCACGACCACCTCTTCCAGTGGAAACAGCTGCTGTCCCAGTCTCTAGCTGCATGATTGTCCTTGTTCTTTTCTGGACCCTACAGCACGTGCTCCCCCTTTGCCGGCTTCTTTTCCTGGCCTTATTTTCTGAGATCCACCTGTGCTGCTGCACATAGTGAACCCTTCTCGTGCTCCCTCGGGCTGCAGCATGCGGCTCTTCCACAGTTCTCTCCCCTCCCTCAGCAATGGCGAACCTTTTTGAGCTTTCAGGGAGACTAACAGCCCACTACAGCGCGTGGGCCACAGGTCCGCCACCATAGCCTTGCCCCATGGTCAATGGTGTTTTCTGTTGAGTCGAGGGTGGACTTATTTGGCTGGAGCAGATATTGCCCAAATCTTGCAGAGTATCTGGAGCTCTCCAGACGCAAGGCAGAAACCCTACAGGTCCCCACCGTCCCATATCCTATGTCTGCCTTTTTGATTTAGTCACCCGGCTGATGTGAGGTGGAATCGCAGTTCGATTTAGGTGCGCATTTCTGATCTCTGGGTCCCTAAACCCCATTGTTTTCTTTATATGAGTGAGATCTGTCTTCAAATATTTTTGCCAGTCTCTTCACCTCCAGCACCACTGTCCCACTCTCTAACCCTAACCTTTCTGCTCAGTAGCAAGCCATCATTTTCCCCAACAAGATCATTTGCTAGCCCTCTGCTGACAGCAAAGCCTCCAGGTATTGTGGGAGGCAAACAGGTGTTACTCTGGGGGCAGCTGCTTTCTGCATCCGTGCTAGTTTAGAGCAGCTGTGGCTCTCTGGAGCCGGCAGGCACAGCCGAGTGTCCTTCAGCTAGCGCTCCACATCAACACGTCACACATGTGCTCACTGTCAGGCGGAGCAACTTCAAATAAAAGTGAGATTTTCCTAGTGTCTGTCTGTCTGTGCCTGTCTCTCTCTTCCTCTCCCTCTTTCCCTCTCCATTCTCCCTCCCTCCTCTTCCCTCTCTCTGTACTGGGGGTTGAACTCAGGGCCTTACACAAACTAAGCAAGTATTCTACCATAAGCTGCACCTCGAGGACCTGGAACTGCTCCTTCCATTTTTCAGCTGCAAAGCATAATTAGAAAATGAAAAGTGCACATATTTATGGTACATAGTGTGATGTTTGGACATACATATCCATTGTAAAATGATTAAATCATGTTAATATATTCATTGTCATTCTCATTTGCTTGTCATAATATTCCCTCAGCATTTTTCAAGCACACATTATTAACCAAACCCCTATGCCTTTCAATCTCTAGGACTTATTTTTTTTTGTGGTACCAGGAATTGAACTCAGGACCTTGTGCTTGCCAGGCAAGCACTTACTCTACTGAGCTATTTCCATGGCCCTTAGAATTTATTCTTTCAGTTGAAGGACTTTGCACCCTTGATCTGTGTCCAGTTGCCTCTCAGGTCCCTGTACCCCTCAAGCTGCTTTCTGCTTCTTAGGTTTTTCCTCATTGCTTAAATCCATGCCTCCTCTTGGGTGGTCCCTTGCCAAGAGATAGCTATCTAATCAGAGAGGAAAATACGCGATAGGTGTGCCCCGCTTGGGTGGGTCCCGTGATCCCTGCTCACATCTCCAGGTAGATAGGCGGTGTGGTGGATGGGTGCAAAGTGAGAAGCAGACCCTTCAGAGTGACACTGATGTCGTGGGAGGGCTTTCTGGGAGTGACTCAGGGGCCAAGGGTGCAGCATGGCGGCACCATGCAGGCCTCCGGCATCCTAAGAGGGAAGCGAAAGCATCACTGTGGGAGAGGACAAGCGAGGCCACCCCTCTGCCTCTGGACGCCCAGTGGTAAACCTGCTCCAAATACAGTTTACATTTTGAAGCCTCCTCCTGACCCATGAAGCTAGGAGGGAGGGTGGGGACGGCCCATGGGGAATAGCTAATGTATCTATGTGCCTGTACAAATCTGCCCAAAGGAAACCTCCTAACCAGTATAGCCAATATGCACTAATAAAAAGCATGGGAAAAAATGCAAGTCATGCAGCACAGTTTTGACCAATTGTAATTTGATTTTTCAAAAGTGTACTTTTTAAGTTTCGAAAATTTCTGAAAGCTGGTGGGGGAGTACCTCAGCGTACAGCCTCTGCCTAGCATGCGCGATGCCCGGATTCCTTCCCTAACACTGCCCAAAAGAAAGGAAAGTCCTGGAGAAGTCATTGTGGAAGAAAGAGGTGGAAGAGGGGCTGCAGCCAGGGCCACCTAAGTGCAGTAATAGAGAAGGAGCCCAGTGGCAAAGGGACCTGGAGGGTCCCGTGGTCACCAGGATGGCACAGACCTGGGGGAGAGCAGGAGCCCGCCTGTCCTCGGGGACAGCCTACGAGGGTGTCCTGAACCTCGACGCTCCAAGCAGCAAGCCTGGCGGGGCTGGGGAGGCCTGCATGGACTTGGGCGCAGCGGGGAGCATTTTCCTCCTCAGAGAGACAAACGCGGCAGCTGCATGCTTCACTGCCATCTCCCAGGGCTCCGGGGCACACAGGGTGCCAACCTTCCATGCCGCCACCACAGCCAAGGCATCTGCACGGGTCCTTAGGCCTTCTGGTGGGACCCCAGAAACACAGAGGAGGCAGAGCTCAGGGGAGCTGCAAACGTGTAGCCCAGTACACCTGCGCAGAAGGAAAAGCTGAAACCTGTCTAGGTTTTGGGTTTGGGGAATCTAATTTACAAACAGTGAAAGGCTTGATTGGTACCCGGTGCCACTCAGGAGGGAGGTGAAGTCCTTCTGAGGATGAGAAGCAAGATTTAACGTCACTGTGTTTATTAGGTTCTGAAACAATACACATTCACATCCTCTTGAATACAGTACATTTGGCACAACGATGCTTACAATGAAATAACACTAATGAATGGCAGGAGGTTAAAATTACATCCAGAAAGGGAAAAAAGGTACAAAGAAAGCATCACAATAAAAAATAAAGCCTTAAAATGGAATACGTCTTATATTTAGCCAGAATTATTTTGCACATAATTTAAAAAGAGGTAACTTTTTAAGCCTTTTTTTTTTTTTTTTTTATAAAGCAAGAATGCATTATATTTTCACCTTTGGAGGAAAAGTTATGTGTCTACTTCACAAAGTCTACAATGAGAGAACACAGGAGAACAGCTATCCTTCATATTTTTTGGCATTTTTTGCACTTTTTTTTTCTTAGAGAGAGGGAGGGAGGGAGAGAGAGAGAGGGAGAGAGAGAGAGCTGGAGAGACTATAAAGAACTAGTAGACATGTAAGAGTTTGTCTGCTCCAAATAAAAGGAAAAGTACTCGTGAAACACAGGAGCCTTTTCTGTAGGCCTAAGCTGGACCTCAGCCTCCTTGTGTGAGAGGCAGAGGTGGCGGCCCGGCCGCCAGCTGTGGGTACTAAGGGGCCTAGAGCTGCCAGGTGGAATGTGTCATCTGACCTCGCGGCAGCCAAGAGTGTCTGTTGTCTTGTAGGAAGGGCCTCACCCCCGCAGCCAGGCACACACCGCCAGCCCTTGGACAAGGCCATTTGGCGTTGCCGTTGAAGATGGCTTGGCTGTCCGAAGTTCACAGCGGTGAAGGGAGCAGGAAAGACAGATGGGGGAAGGGCTGATTGGAGGTTGATTGAGATTACGCATGAGTATGATGGGGGTACTGTCAGGTCTCCCTAAAAAATGAGATGATGCCACCGTGAAGATGTCTCTGTGCTTGTACTCCACTCCACAAGGTCGTCTGCCCCTGGGACGTCAAGTTACCAAAGATAAATTAAATTAATCCAATGTTCTTTATCACCTCACTGGTATGCCACACACATGGATTGATATAGCATAATATTCAATATTTGCAATCATCGTAAGAACAGATAATAATTACACCTGAGTTTTTTTAAAAAATAAAGACAAAAGAGAACTGAGTGTCATCGTTAGAAACAAAGGCCGTCACCAGCCAGATGCAAATAGGGACACACTCTGGGCTCAAAGCAGTCACCGTCCACTCTTTGAAAAGCCACAACTGAAAGAACTCCTTTCTGTCCCCTACCTCTGTCAGGGCATAATACAGCGCAGGAGAACTACACATGAAATTTAATATAGCTTAATACACATATATGTTTACATCTTTTAAAATAAAACAAAATGAAATAAACAATAAAATCCCCCCCCCCAAGAATACACCTATCTCTTGGTAACTTGAACCAATACGCTTACAGAGTATTGCACCTGGACATTATTATAATTATTCTTTCATAGACTAAAGTTTTATAATATGCCTGAACATGCAGCAATTGATACCTCTATAGTCAATGAGTTAATTCCACAGGCCTTGCAGCAAACACTATATACAAAAATCTCAAATGTACAAAAGGCAAAAAGCTTCATCAGTGCCACTTTGCCACTCACAAGTGTATATATATTTAGGAACAGCTGGGAAATCCACGTGCAACAGCTGGAATGGATTCCATTCCCTGCTAAGTCAGTTCAGTAAAATAGGTAATCAAATGACCTCCAGGAAACATATACACGAAGCCACAGAGAACCCTTGGAAAGCAAAGAATGTAACACTGTTGGCATAGATAGCTACAGGAGGTAACGTCTCGTCTGGAACAGCGTCCACGTGAGTTGCCACTGTACGTCACATGGAAACACCGTGGCGAGGACAAGCAGCCACACTGTCAGCTTGCAAACCCGTCCCCTCTGGTGTCCGGCCCCGCTCTGCCCACTACACGGTGCGCCTCTTGCCACTTGGGCTAAAAGTGGACGCTTTAGAATTAACTTTAAATGCTTAATGTTTAAAAACCACAACACAGTAGTACTACCATTTTGTAGAAGTGCGCAACATAACACATTGCTGCGGAAAATAAATATCGGTTGTGCTGGGAACTCGGGATGACAGCGGGCCTGAGATCTGCTAGAACCCTGGGTCCCGCCACCGCCGCGGCGGCCTCTGTGTTCAGGTAGAACTGTGATCAAGAGGAGTGCTGTGCGCTTCCCTTTCCCTCAGCTCCACCAGCCCTCATGTGTCGCTCAAACACTCACAGCACAGGTCGCTCCTGGACGACTGGATCCTCGTGTGTATTAGCCCTTTAATAGCCACCTGTATTCATCCTGGAAATTCTATCTTTTGGCCAATTAGAAAGCTAATTTCGATAAAACATTTTTCAAAAGTTAATAAAGTTCAAAAATCAAAATTATTTCTTTCACAAAAGTGATTTCTTCTATGAGACAAACTTGTAAGACTTTGGCATGCTCTGAAGCAGACACCAAGGCGAGCCAGGATGAGCCCTTCCAGAGCAAACCAACACAGCTGGCCGGCCTGTGGCCTCCTGGGCCCCTTCTCCCTCAAGGGCACTTGCCCTCCTGTGGAGGAGGTGCCAGTCTCGTCTTGTCCTGGGCAGAAGGGCAGGGCTGGCAGGCCAGGGGACAGAAGGGACGAGAAGCAGGCGGTGTCAGGATACTACATCCAGTGGCAAAGCCAGAGTCTTCTTGTTTGATATTTTTCTTTTTCTTTATAAAAGAACTGGAGTTTCGCCACGAGCAGCCTCAGGAGTGGAGCCAGGCTCGCCACAGCCCAAACATGGCGATATAGACCCCACTCCTGGCTGCTGACCCAGCTCCAGTCTGGGTTCCAACTGAGGCCAGACCCAACTGCCTTCTGGTCACCAGGAGGTGGGAGAGGATGTGGCGTGGGGGGAGGGAATGCAATAAATAGAGATCGGCACAGGACGGGGCTCCGGGAAGAGGAGTAGCTCTGAACCTTCTGAGCCTCCGGAACACAGGGTCTTCTCAGCACCCTCCCTGCAGCAGCGGCAAGCCCAGCCTACGTGGCTTCTCAGGGCATCAGGTCTTCGCCAAAGTAGGAGAAGCCTTTGAACTCCTCCTGGTTGATCTGCTTCACAATGGCTTCATCCACAAGCGTGAGTACCGGCTCTTCCCGGGTAAAGTCTTGGTCAAAGTTATTGACGTCTCTTTTGGTTTTCTGTGGGAAGACAAGAGGAGGCGCTGAGTCAAGGCTGACCAGCCTTCCAACGGAGCCCCATGGGGGAGGGGGCACTCAGGGGACCTGCCTCTCGCTGAAGCGAGAAACAAGAGGCTACTGGAAGCAGACCACAGGGCTGTTCCAATGAGGCAGCGATGGATGGCCCCAGGAGCAGGTGACAGCGGAGGAGAGGAGGGATGAGCTGAGGTGAGAAGGAAGAAGGGGAGTGTGGGGATGACGGAAAAGCAGGGAAGTGGGGTTCCCAAGGCTGCGTGTGTGTGCGTGCGTGTGCATGTGTGGGCCGGGGAGAGCAGGGTGCGCAGCTCCCGCCTCACATCCCCTCTTGGCATCTGCCATAAGCCCTTTTCCTCCCTGTGACCAGGGAACAAAGCTGAATCCACTTCCCAGCCTCCAGCGCTCCAGACCCCGCAGCCCTGCGTCTGCTTGGAGGACCCCTCTTCTCTGAGCAGGCCTGGGGGGCAGGAGTGCCTTCTGGGACTGTCACCTGCACTCACCGTGACCTCAGTTACGCTCCTGCATTTGTGTCATTCTCCTTGCACTTAGCACACTGACTGGCCACGCTATGTTCATGTCTCTGTCTAGGCCACGAGCTCCGGCAAGGTCCACAGCCATCTAAGTCAGGTTGGGCTCCAGAAGGAGCAATAAGCAATAAGCTTATTGAGCTTCCCTCCGGAAGTGCCCGTTGAGGGAAGTGAGCAAACCTGTTACTCCTCAGCTCAGAAGGACCCAGACATGGGAAGAAGTTCAAATTCCCAAAGGAAGACTGTGTGGCTTAGGGTTGGGGGCACCAAGAGTAGCATCTATCAACCTACCAATAAATCCTGGCTTTTGGAGAAAAATCAGGAAGTATTAGTAATGCTCTTTGCCTTTAGGAGTTTAGAGCTGCACTGCGGAGCTAGTGTGCCTGTCTAGGACATATCGCATCGGCTGGAAAAAACTTCTGAAGAAAAGTCAGGGCTTGGGGCAAGGCCTGAGGGACGGGCCACAAGTGTGTGGGCAGAGATGGGAGAAAGGCTCTGCGGCAGGTTGAAAGCTGGGACGGGGGCGGGGCCCAAAAGACACATACATGGGCCAGCGGGTTTGCCAAGATGTTGGGGGCAGAGTCCAGCGTGGGCACGGTGAGAGGTCAAGCTGGAGCCCTGCAGTGAGCCCTTCAATACCAGCCCGTCCTTATTATTCTCCTTCACCCCAGTACAGCACACAGCATGGTGCTGGGAAGGCGGGAGGCACCAACACTGCTTCCTAAAGACACCGATTTACTGGTACTCCCCAGGGTGAATAAACTAGACAACGAAGTATGTTTAAGGGAAGGTCAGCAAGATAATTTTTCCCCTAGTATAAGACATGAACCCGGAGCTTTTACAACCGGCAACATTCTTAGCGTTTTTTATTTATTTATTAAATTTTGAGATAGGGTCTTACTAAGTTGCCCAGGCTGGGCTTGAACTTGCAGTCCTCCTGCTTCAGCCTCCCAGAGTGTTAGGATTATAGGCATGCATCACCATGCCCTTCTAAGATTAGTAAGACTATCTGTAGGAGAAACAATATGTTCCCTGCTTTGTAGGAACCAGTAACCTAGAAGATATCAATGAGTAGTCCATGAAAAAAGTAGCTCTGAGTCGAAGCTGTTCCTGTGCGCTGCCTGGTCAGGTCCACGGCGACTTCGGCCTCTGAGCAGTTGCCGGGCACGGCAGCTAGGGCCGCTCTGCTTCAGCTAGCCTTCCTCGAACTTGACACCAGCCCCTCTCGGCCCTCCCTCCCTCCCTCCCCGTCTCCCAGGACCTCTCCCAAGAGCAGAGCATCTTCACATTCATCTCCTTGTCTGAACCCTGGGAGACAGGCAGGCCTTAGGATCCCGATTTCACAGCAGAGAGACTAGTTCAAAGCTGTTGGCTGGCTTGGCCAGAATCGGGAAAGACCAGCGTTCGAAAATTTGAGGCATGGGTGGGAATCGGATCTAGGTCTCTGTGTGGTTCCTGTGGGGTGGGAGGTCTGGAAACCCATGTGCTGGGCAAGTGGGAAGACATGGAAAGGGCCAGACTCAACCACCAGGCGACATCGAGGAAACGCCACTGAGCTGTGACAAAGCCAGGAAGGTCTGCCATAGGCAAAGCCAGTAGGAGAGGTCCACGGGCCGGGGAAAGCGCGTACCACGGCAAGGGGTCTGTTTTAAGCAGCGCCAGACTGACTTCAGAATCAGGGACATCCCAGAGGAGGGACGAGTGTGGTCATCCTGTTTCTCAGCATACCAGCTGTGTCTGGTAACTTTTCTCGAGGAGTGAGCTGAGTATTTCAGTCTCAGAGACCTTGGACAGAGGAACCAGGGTGACACAGAAAACCCAAGGGATTCCCAGAAGCAGGGCTTGCAGCTGCAGGACATCATGTGCCCCCCAAGATAAGGAAGGCTCAGGAGCGGCCTGTGGCAGGCTGGCTTGCCTGGGGCAGGGATATCTACACCCTCTTCTCTCAGGTGTACAGGGAGGCCCTGTGCTAAGGGGGACTGCAGGCAGGCGGGACAAAGCATCCCTTAGTGCCACACTGACACAGAAAGGTGCTGCCTGGGAAAGGTGGTGGGGATGTCTTTGCTGAAGATCTCTACGGAAGGAGGGATGCATTCGCTCATGAGGGCCCACAGTGCTGGGTGAAGGAGTCCAGGGGCAGGGGTGGGAGGGGTGGCAGCAACTTCAGAAGCACCAGGCATCACCCCAAAGGCAACAGAGAGTGCACGCTGGGGCTGGAGCTAAAGGGAACAGGAGGGGAGGCAGCAGGGCGAAGACGAGGCAGGGGACGGTCAGGAGGACGGGTCTACCTGTGACGTCAGTACGGATGGGCTGCGAACAGCAGGCCCTAGAGATCTCAGGGCAGGAACCCCTCTTTCCTGCTATACCCCCTCAGCCAGCTACTGTCAAAGACAACATTTATATAAGGAGCCTCAGGACCTGTGCACCCTGGCACTGGCTTCCCCCGTTTTCTTGAATGCTTGTGCTTCAGGCCCTGGTCTTTAGTGTCTATTAGATCAAAATTGCGTTCTAGTCTCCAAATTTCAGGCTGGGGAGATAGCTCAGGGACACAGCACCTGCCTGGCAAATGCAAGATCATTAGATTCCCATTTTTTTTTTTTTAAACATCACAAGTTTTAGAGTGTACAGAAGAGACGTAGGCTGGGTAAATGTAGCTAGGCACATCATCCTGACCTCCAGTTCTATGGTGGGCTCATGTTGGGAGCTACTTGGCTCTGAGTTTCAGGGGTCCCCAAGTCATCTGTGGCACCTGAGTGTGCCCCTTTCCTCACCTTGGCAGACCTGGCTTACCAACCCCTCGCACAACTTGGCTCCTGCTGGGTTCTCCGCGGGGACATTAGGTGCACGTCAGTCACTCATGTCTAATTCAAATCTTCAACATCCCCACTCCGTGGAATTCTCAACTCTGGTCAGTTTGCCAAGACAGACTTGGTCCACTAGTACTGAGACGCAGCTAGCACAGTACCCCTAATTTTGGAAAGGGCTAGGATTGTATCCTTTCCCCGCTGACCCTACTCTTTGAAGCAATGCTGTCTCCCTCATGGAGCAGGCATGAGACTCCACTCACAGTTCCTGCAGGTAAGCACAGAGACACTGTAAGTCCCAGGCCTCTGCGTTCCCTCACTGCCCCGCCTCCTCGAAGGCCTAAGTGCCAGCCTCTCAGCTTGCCTCGCATAGCCTGACTCTGGGCACACTGAAGAACATTCCAGCTGCAGCCCTTCCCTGCTCTGGGACCTTTTCCCACAGCCCTCCCACAGGGGTGGGAAAGGTGCGTGGGGCAGCAGGAAGGCCTGGCTGAGCTCCTGCCCCGGCACTCCTGGATCATAGCGCCCTATAAACCTTGGTCATTTCTTCTGTAAAGTCGGGTGAAAACAGACATCCCACGGATAACCTTAAGCACTAACGGAGAAGCCAGATTTGAGATAGCCAGCCGTGCATGGAGTGGTCACCCAGGAACTAAGCTCCTGCCCTCCCGAACCCTGGCATCTGGGTGCCATGGCCCTGCCACTAGCCTTGGTTGTGCTGCCCGCATGCTCCCTGGGATGCGCCTATCAGTGAGCTGCTGAGCTGCCTGCCGAGCTTTTATTCCTTGGTGTACCAGAGCCAGGGTGCAGCTGGCACCTCCCTCCAGGGACAGGGAATCTCCCTTCAGGGACAGGGAGCCTCCATGGTGCCCCGCTGCTCTGAGGCCAAGGGTCTGAGTCTCTAGGTTCCCTGCTCTCGGGCTTCATGATCGGGCCTCTGCTCACCTCCCTGGTACCAGGGGGCTGGGGGCTCCAGATCTCTGGCCCTGCTGCCTGGGGCTCCCGCTCTTCTGGCCTTCTGCTGGTGCCTGCTCCCTCTTCCCACCTCCCTTTGCCCTTCTTGCAGGAGGTCCTTATTCCTTGAGGGCAGCTGGAGCCAAACGTCTGCTGGGTGCCTCACCTTTTCTCCTGAGCTCTTACTGCAGCCCTTCATAAAATGTGGGCCCTTCTGCCTGCTCTGTGAGCACCACATGGGCAGGGGCTGGGTGAATGTGCTGCTCTCTGCCAGCCCAGCACGTGCTGTTTCCTCAGGCTACTTGCCGGGAGAGCTGGCTGCAGGCACTGCTGCCGCTGCTGCTGTATCCAGAGCCAGCAAAGTGCCTTGGGTTCGCGGCCAGTGGCTGCCATCCTGACATGGGGCTCTTTCCTTTGGGGAAGCGGAAGGGGGATGGGGAGGAGGCTGAGGTCTGGTTTGAGAACAACTGGTGGGGAGACAGCCCAGGGCAGCACTAAGCCCCAGGGGCTGGCAAAACAGGAGGCTGAGGCTTAAGAAATGGGTATCCTGAGTGCTTCAGGCATGAGTTCTCTAACTGTTGGTAGAAGACAGAGACAAAACGGCATTTCTGTTCCTTTTGGTGTCACTTCAGAAATCAGGTCTTGGATTTAGAGACGTGAGGCTGCCATTAGGGAAGGAGCCATCTCTGGTGTCTGGGAG